ATTTGCCTTTAGATCAATGGATGATGGAGGGAACAAAAGCAGACAGACCAGGCTCGTTTAGAGAGTTGCTAGAAGGATCAAATTAAGTAATAGTGTTTAATAAAAATCCTAATGTAATGTTTTTAAGTTATATATCCCCAAACTTCAAACAAAGAGTCATTATACTCTGTGAAAAAATACAATTTAAAAAAGGGGTAAAATGTTTGTAAAACCAAGAATTCATTTTAAAAAGTTATCTGCATGTTTGAAAAATTACAGACTTATGCCTTAGATATTGGTGGGATGATCTCTAAGGTTTCCTCTAATAGAAGTCTATAGTATTTGCATTTAAAACATTAAGCCTAAAAATAAACCAAAACAAAACTCAAATCCTCAGGTCATCTGGGCTTTAATCTATCTTTGTTGGGGGAGCATTGTGCTTTTTCCTCAGTCCTTGTCCCCACCACAACAAAGAATTGAAGGGTAGAGACACAGTAGTGAAGCCGAGTAAAAGTTTTATTTAAAGCTACTTAAAGAGAGAAAAAGTACAGGTCACCTCAGCAAGGAGAGGTGCCCTGAAAGTTTGGAGAAAGTTTAAGATGAAAAGGTTACAGACTTGGAAAGTGTGGGCAACCTCAGAGACAGGAGCGCCCTGAAACTTTGGCGGTTCCCCCTTTTAAGGATTCTTCTGGAATGTGACTAAGGGCTGGGGGTGCAGACATTTTTTTATACACTCTTTTTTTTTATATACACTCTTATGAAGGTTTTACATGAGAAAACAATGTGGCTACTACATCTACCCATACTGTCAAGTCCCCACTCATACCCAGTGTACTCACTGTCCATCAGTGAAGCAAAATGCCACAGATCCACTATGTGCCTTCTCTGTGCTACACAGTTCTCACTGTGACCCCCCACACCATGGGTACTAAACATAATACACCTCAATCCCCTTCTCCCTCCCTCCCCACCTGCCTTCCCCTTTGGTAACCACTGGTATCTTCTTGGAGTTTCTGAGTCTGCTGCTATTTTGTTCCTTCAGTTTTGCTTCATTGTTATACTCCACAAATGAGGGAAATGATTTGGCATTTGTCTTTCTCCACCTGACTTATTTCACTGAGCATAATGTCCTCCAGCTCCATCCATGTTGTTGCAAATGGTAGGATTTCTTTCTTATGGCTGAGTGGTATTTCATTGTGTATATGTACCACATCTTCTTTATCCATTCATCTACTGATGGACCCTTAGGTTGTTTCCATATCTTGGCTATTGTAAAAAGTGCTGTGATAAACATAGGGGTACCTTTATCTTTTTGAATCTGAGAAGTTGTATTCTTTGGGTAAATTCCAAGGAGTGGGATTCCTGGGTCAAATTGTATTTCTATTTTTAGTTTTTTGAGGAATCTCCATATTGTTTTCCACAATGGTTGAACTAGTTTACATTCCTACCAGGGCTGGGGGTGCAGATTTGTTAAGTGGTCTTTGAATACTTAGAATGCTTGAATACAAGGAACTTCCTGCTCTGATTTCTCCCATGTCTTGGTCTGGGAGCATATCAAACAAGACTGCCTGCCCAGCCCCCAAGGTGGGTTGAGTTATTGTGTTTCCTTAAGAGTAAGTTAAGAATATTACTTCTCAACTTCCTGGGTATTAAAATGCAATCTTTAAGATGGAATCCTTCCTGCCTTTTACTATGTTGTTCACAGCTGGGCCTGCATGCTAAATTAGTTGCCTTGGTTGCAAACTACTTGATTAGCACTGAAGGAGAAAAAAACAGCATATAGGTAAAGTTAAAAAATAAGCTGGGCCTGCATGATAAACACAATAAAGACATGGGCTATGCTGAGGTACCCTCCTTTATCTGGGGAATATTAAAATATTCCAGGCCAAGTTACTCCTGTCTTTTTGAGCTTTAACTGATTAACTCTGGGCTTTCCTGGCCTTATTCTATCCTGCACCCCCACCCCTCTCATATCTATTTTCCTGCCTAACACCTTTACTATGTTTTATACCTTTAATAACCTATTTGGAATCAAACTTATTTTCCAAGTGCATCAATGTGGAAAGGGCTTTTCAAAGCAGAGCAAATTTTGAATTGCTAGGTTTGTTTACTCTTTCCAGAATGAGTAGTTTTTAAAGTAACCTATATTAATGGCCTGTGTTGTACTAACTGGCCAGGGCATTATAAAACATGGAACTGACATAAAAAGAATGGTGGAAATATGTTTTTTGTATGCAAACATATTTATATATATAAATGGATTCCCAAAAAGGATAATCACAACAATGCCATGAAAAGGAGTTAATAGACATCTTCTGGATTTACCACTTTCTAACCATAAGATGAAAAATGGATGCAATCACCAACTGGCCAGGTGGTTAAAGCTTTCAAAAAGCTAAAGAACTATCCTTTCTTTTCTCTCAGTTTCATAAATAGAAATGATCATCTATGAAAACAGATGATCTATTCTGTTCCAGTGCTTTTCAAACTTTAATACACATACGAATCACCAAGGATCATTCTTGAATCGTGTTGCCATGTGATTTGAGGGGCTGAATAAAGGTTCTCTAAAACTGTTTACAACCTAATCCTGGAATTTGTGAATACTAATTTACATGCGAAAAGGGACTTTGCCGATGTGATTAAGGTACTTGATAGGGAGATTAACCTGTACTATTGGCCTGGGCCCTAAATAGAGTCACATGTGTCCTTATAAAAGAGAAGCAGGAGTTCACAGTGAGAAGGCAGTTGAAACAGAGAGAGCGACTGGAAGATGCTACCCTGCTGTCTTTGAAGATTGGCTGTGGTCCAAGGATGCAGGTGGCCTCTTAAACGTAGAAAAGACAAGGAAATGGATATCCCCCTAGACCCTACGGACGGCTGACTCCTTTAGCCCTGTGAAACCCATTTCAGTCTCCAGAACTGTAAGATAATAAATTCATCCTCTTTTAACCCACTAAGTCTGTGGTGATTTATTATAGCAGCATAGGAAATTAATATAAATCATAATTTCCACTTTAAAAGGAAATTATATGCTTCTTAGAAGCACTGTTTATAAGACCAAAAATAAAATAAAACTCCAAATATAAAAATCATGCATAACCATTCAATACGACCACAGAAAAATTTAACTGTGTTGCACATGAGGCTATATCAGGGTCTTTAAAAAGCAGGTTACAATATAATTATTTTAAATGCTATGTGTTTTCTTTAGTGCTAAAGACTTGTCTCTCCCAAATTCATATATTGAAGCCCTCCCTTATCTCTAATGTGACTAATATAATTTGAAAAACAAAATTTTTTAATTTGGAGATGGGGCTTTTAGGTTAATTGTTAAATGAGGTTGTAAGGGTGGAGTCCTAATCTGATAGGATCGGAGGCCTTATAAGAAGATGCAGAGAAAGATCTCTCCACGCACATTCACTGAGGAAGGCCTGGTAAGCACAGAGAGAAGGCACCTGTCTGCAAGCAAGGAAAAAAGCCCTCACCGGAACCAGACCAACCTGGCACACTGACGTCAGACGTCTAACTTCTAATACTGTGAGAAAATCTGTGTTAAGTCAACGGGATTTTGTAACTGCACACCAAGCAGACTAAGATGTAAGTGTATATTGTAACCGGAAAAATATTTTTTCAGCAATAGCAATAACTTTGAAAAACTGTATGTAAATTTTATTTACAGTTGCAAACAATAAGAAATACACTGGGCTTTGTCTATATTTAATGTCTTAAGAGTTCTTCAACATACAGTGTTACAATGCTTTATAAAGTGAGATCCTACAGTATCTGATGCCTGATAATACTGAAGGTTTTATCACTTATAACCCGCTCACCCTCTGGGTTTTATTATTTGAGCAGGTAGAATATAAAATGATGGGTTGACTGTTTTATAATGACTGCATTTATAATAAAAATATATACCAAAGGCATTAAAAAATGACTTAAAATCAGTTGTTGTACTCTAAAGTAGCCATCCGAAATTAGTCTTATATAATTAGGCTGATTTGCATATCAATATGCCTGATTTGCCTGGGACAGTCCTGGTCTATGTCCACTGTCTTGGTGTAATTATTAGCAGTGCCCACTCTCAAAAGATGCCCTGGCAAACTATGGTTATTCTATGTATAATCAATTGCAGAATAATTATATTTAAAATTTTTCATAAATTTCGTGTTCTGTCTGGGACAGGAAAAACCAACTATCACTAAAATCTGGAAAATACGGTTACCATGGTATATAATATTATTAAGTAATTTTCTTCCTGAACTGAAGTGAATTTTGTGAATGGATTGAGTACTAAGATGAACCACATGCCAAAACATTCTTAAATGATTTTGAAATAACTCAAGAATCTAAAATTTTATTTTACTCAAGCAGGGTTAAGATTATTCAAAGGAAAATGTCAGTATACCCAGGACTCCAACGTCATTCCTTTAACATTATAAAATTACATAAGAAAATATAAATGAATGGTTTAGATTTTAAGATTGGGATCACTAAAGTCAGATTGGTCATCTAAAATTTGTATCCTAACCATAAAAGTGAATATAATGATATGCCCATTGGTGTTGGCTTTTCTTGTAATAATAAAAATGGGTTATTTTAAAGAATTATCAAAGTTATATATAAAGAAGAGAACACAATAGGAGTGTGAAAAAAATCTTTTCTTCTTAGGATTCTCTAGCAATTAGCAAAGAAAGGAGGAAAAAATGGTCTGAATGATAAATTCAGACTGGCCACAGAAGAGCAGTTTCCACATCTGCAAAACATACTATCAATATCATCTCTACTGAATGTTACCAAAAATGAAAACAGGGCAAGATATAATTTTGTAGAATACTCTTGTAGAAAAACTCCTCAGAGAAGCATATTCATTAAGTATTTTTCCCATTCACTTCATATATTCACTTCATATATATTCATATATTCGTGCCATAATGTGTGTTTTTATTTTAAAGTACCAAGTCTTCTACTTGTATAAGTCGCATCTCACAGCATCAATGCATATGTACACTTTGAGCCTAGTCTTTGGATTCCTGTTCTTCCTCTGATTCTCTTGCCCATTTCCGGGAATTTGTTGAACCTTCTGTTTGCAATGAACACATGGTAGCAACAGCATCTTTAAATCCCTGAGGCTGAAAGATGAAAAAATATACAAATATTGCTTGAAGGACACCTAAAATAATTACTGGTCTTGCAAATATTTTAAAGTAATTTATAAGAGAACTACTTTATTCTTGGGATAGAAGTTACCAACCACTGTGAGTGAAGAGGATAAATATCATGAGTAAGTTAAGAAGCCAGGGCTGTACTACAGTATTTTATAGCTAGAGTATATTATGTATGTTTATTTATACATACACATATACACACAAAGAAATAACATTGAATTGCAAAGATGTCCTCTAAAAGACAATCTCAAAAATCTTTATGTTGGCTCTCTTGGAAAGGTGAAAGGAAGTAACATGTACTAATTACTTAGGTGTTTATATAAATTTATTTTCACAATTAAATATTCTAAAATAAAGTTTTGCAATTAGGATACTTTAAATGTACCTGGCTAGTGCAGAGCCAAAATGGATAACTGTTTCAGAATGTCTTTCTATTTCTGATTTTATCCTTAAAAAATGAGATGCCAAGAATATATTTGGCTCAACACTATTGGTAAATACATATATTTCAGCCAAAATGTGTTCTATGATGTAAAATTACAGGAACATTAACTTCTTAAAGTGGAATATATTTGGTGGCTATGATAGATCTATAATATCTACAGACCAAAGTGAGTAACACTGGTATTTTTTCTTGGAAAATCTTTTAACAACTTTCACTTTAAAAATCTATAATATCCTAACATTACATATGGCAAGAAACACACTAGTCTACAAGTATTTCCTCTGTTCTTCAGAATAAATTTCAGTCCAATTTGTGGCTAGAATATTCTGTATACATACTATTTTGGGCATAATGTTCTAAGCATCAAAAGCTGTCCTCAAATATGTTTGCTGCCTACAGAAGTTATCAGAAGCAATTTATAAAAGCTCTCTTCAGATAATTACTGCCCACCAACACGAAAATCCCACTCTAATCAAATAATACTGACTGTGATTTGAAACAGAATTGTAGATTCCTTCTGGCTTGGTGATTTGTACAATGTTGCCAACCTGCTTAGAGAAAAAGAATAAATATACACAAACACATGATCTTAACTACTTAATTAGTTCAGGTGAATGGTTTCATAATACAAATTTATAGCTTTTTACTGTAATTCAATTATTTTGTTCTCTAAGGACACAGAAAGCAAAGAAACAAAAAATATTCTCCACAAACAGCAGCTATATGTATATATAAAATAATTGTCATACATTTATATAAGTGAAATTTTAAAGGAACCTAAAAATCTAATGACTGATTCAAATAAATTATTTTATTCATGACAAGACACATTTATGGTTCAGAAAATAAGGTGGGAGAAAATATTTAATGAAATAGCCAAGTATTAATAATGCAAAATGCAAAATGATCCCACATTTACATATATATATATATGCAGAAAAATTACTTGAAGACTATAATAAAATCAAACCTGCTATTACAAGATAAAGGGGGCTTTTTATTTATATTTTTCACACCTTCCACAATAATAGTGTATTCTTTTGTTGTTATAAGTATCAAAACAATTTCTTGAGATACAAAGGAGGAATACATACTCATATTATGCTAATACAAATAAGCTAGGGAAGACACATTCTTTCAAAATGATTATGTCCAGGAAAATCACTGTCATATAACAGAACAAAGTCAGTTTAGGTGTGATTTCATTTAGTACTCTATAAAGTAAGTAACATAAAACTGCAAGCCAAAAGTTTCTGAGAAATAAAATTCTAAGCTTTATTATGTTCAAATAGTGTAACAGCAACAAATAAAAGCAAAAACTTTTAAAGTGTCTTTTAAATTTACTTTAAAATTATTTAACCTACTCACAATAGCCAAAAGGTAGAAACAACCCAACTGTCTGACAAACGAAAAAACCAAATGTGCTATAATGGAGTTTTATTCAGTCTCAAAGAGGAAAGAAATTCTGACAAATGCTATAGTGAACCTTACGGACATTAGGCTAAGTGCAATAAAGCCAGCCATATAGGGCAAATATGGTATGATTACATTTACATGAGGTAAGGGTAGCCACACAGAGACAGAAGGTAGAATGATTAACAGAGGATGGGGGAAGAGAGAAGGAAGTTACTGTTAAGTGGGTATGGAGTTTCAGTTTTGGAAGATGAAAAATTTCTGGAGATGGATAGTGGTGATCATGGTACAATAATAAGAATGGACTTCATGCCCCTGAACTGTACACTTAAAATGGTGAATTTTATCATGTATACCTTACCACAATTTTGAAAAGCTGATATAACTGCACAAAATACAGATTCCAACTTAGAGAAAAATCAAAGGTCATTCATTTACATATAAATAATGTTCATTTGTTTTCAAAGACAATTCAAAAAGGACATCTTGGTTTATGATATTACTCTCTTATGGTTGATATTCTATCTTTAATGCAAAATAACAGAAGAGGCACAGTATATTTTAACCCACCTGAATAAGAAATCACATTTTGATTCAATAAAATAACAATTAGCTAACTTTCTGAAAAGTCACTATCTAAATCATCTCTCATCACCATATGTCCAAAAATGTACCAGGGCTTCTGACTTTTCTGGGAAAATTATTAAAAACTAAATAAGCTTCTTAATGTTTACTAAGAATCCTAAAGTCAAGTGGACATTAAGTATTCAGGTTGAAAATCCTCTTCAAGATCTTAGTTAAAAATACAACTTTCTATTTCATGTCTACATCTGAAGAGACCTTTCTGACAATAAACTAAACCGAAGAATCACTTGGCTCATGGCCCCAGCTGAGAAGCTTAACATATGGCTGAACTACACAGTTTGGGTCAGGAAGAAATAAGACAGAAGCACAATTTGTGCTCTTAAGCTGAGCACACATATGAAACACTGTGTGGGGGTGTTGATATATTACTCTACTCTACCACCAGATCTTCTTGGCAAAGAGTAGTGAACAGTCGTGCCCTTATACTATCATGAATATGCAAACTAGAGTAAAACCAGCACAATATAGAGGACAGAGACAAAAGTATTTCTTTTGATAACTGTTGGAAAGATATTCCATTGTCAGTCAAAGGGTAAAAATCAGGTGTTCCTGGTGAAGGATGGGGAGAAAAAGAATGAACTCTCTTATAGAATTAGCTATAAATGTGGAGACTACTACCTATTTCACAGAGTTATTGGGAAAACAAGATATATACACACACATGTACATATACACAGTGCTTAGCACAATAAAAGAAAGTTAATAAATAATCAATGGTAGCTCTTATTAACTACTTAATCTTTCTGGGCCTTTGCCTTCTGACTGTTAACCATAATAGGTACAGATTCTTCAGAGTTATTGAGGGATTATATGAAATGCTGTATATAAACGGCCCAGGTAAATATCTATACAAGCAAGCACTCACTACAGTGATATGGTGTATCGGAAAAATTTTATAGAACAGCAGGTTTCCCCTACATCTGTCTAGTCAATGTCAGTGTTCAACATGATTCTCTAATTTCTTGGAAAGGATAGTAGGAAGCTGAAATCTTACAATGGTTCACTCTTAAAAATTAAGCATGATTTTCTGATCTCATGAGTATCTAACCAATGTTGACCTCCAGAACTTTACAAAAAAGGCAAACTTGTTCTGTTTAGTGACTAAAAGGATGGAACATCTTGCTAAGTTCTTATTTTTAAAAAAATTTTTTACATGTACTCTCTTACTGTGTATTTAATAATAGGGTATAATAGTGGAAGACTACTAGTGTATACTAGCTCAAGAGGAATCCCTAAGAACATTTAAATAGTGAGCTGCACCTTACAGAAAACCTAATCTGGGAAAGTATAAGCAATATGTTCAAAAGATTCTCGTCTAGAGAACTATTGCCAAATCTTTACAGTGGGGTGTTTTGCCGAGAAAGAACTCCTTTGGAGAATCCAGTTTCCAATGATTTATTTACAGAACTGGAGGGATAAGAATCAATCGAAAGCAGTACATACTATGAAAAGTTACCTGAGGTCTTTGGAAATGCCATCATGAGTTAGTTGCATAAGATGTAATTAAGTGTAATTGGTTGTTATGAGCTCAGAGTCTGTAAAACCTAACTCGTGCAGGCATATTTTTCAGCTCGTAGAAGAACAAAGAAATGGAAATAAAGAATAAACAATAGCACTACCCATACCCAATACGCATTTTTCCATGTTTGCCCACATGCTGTCTCAATTTCTGCCTTTTATTAGAGCATTTCCAAACCAAGTTCTCTGGGTTGTACCAATTAACGTTCGAAGCAGAGAGGCTGGCATAAATCTGACATTTCAAGAAGTGTAGAATAAAAGATTCCACAGCTTTCAATCGCCTATTTTAAAGAAAATGAAAGCTGGTTTGTTCACTTGCTCAGCTGCTTTAAAAACAGACAAAGGTTTCATGTTGCCACAGTTTTATTTTAAAGAACAATACTTGTGAAATGCAGGTAACTGGGTAACAAAAGTAGGACAGGGAAATATAAAAGAAAACAAAAATAGACACAATTTCATACAATAAATGAGAAAAGCCACCCTATTTTCCACATAAATTAGTCCTAACTCTAACTCAAAAGTTGCCTTTGTCCTGATTTTTTAATTCTTTCAATCCCTTCCAGAAACACAGAGTACCCACCTCCTTCTGCATGGCTAATGGCTAATAAAAAGTATTTGATTTCAAGAGCTTTAGAAGGTAGCATTCCTTGGCCACCTACTCTTATCAGGTGTACCCCATCATTTAAATATTCCAAAGAATTTCCTATGTTGCTAAATATGCAGTATAACAACATGCTTCCACGTTTGCTCTAGGTGATAAAGGGCAAGGCAATAAAAGCTTTAATTTATTTAGTCCATGGGGCACTGCAGATCTCATCCACTGGACTGGATCTAAGAAACTGGTAAGTTCAGTGTAATTAACTGAAGACTCAGCATTATCAACTTGTTTCTTACACTGACCTTTGCTTTTGGTCCCAATGAAATATTAGCCGTATGGTAGCAGCATGTCCCCAGCTTTCTCCTGAGGGAAAAAGAACATAACGGTATACTGCCTTACTGAGTAGGTTACATGCGTCTCAGAATGCCTCAAATATAGTTTGACTTTACCCGATTTAACATAACGAGAGTATACTTGGTTTCAAAAAACCTGGTACATGTTACTTCTGAGATTAACAGATTTTTACCTATCTATGGAAATACTACAGATCATTATCCTCCATTTACTTTTAGAAAACTACATACAGTTTTACTCAACATATTTGTCAATCTTCTACACCATCAGGCCCACTAAACATATTCCTGAACACCAGAAGAAAAACAAAAACTCTGACAGAGTATTCTTCAAGATTTTAGTAGAAATAAATCTTGAAGCATTGTGTTCTAACAAAACCTTGACTGAAGTTAGAAAGTCGTAGATGTACTCACTGTAGTGTGGTTTGTATTTAAATGGATTCACCCTTCCTCTTACCTAACACTGCAAGCTTTCTGAGGACAAGAGTCATCTAATGAATATCTACACACTCATTACTTGAAGCAATAGCTGCTCAGTAAATATCTGTTAAATAACCGAAAGGAAGAGTCGGTATCTAAGGGTACTGCGCTTGATGCTAAGATTTATAAGACAGATATAGTCTTATAAATCTAAGCTAAATAACGCTAAGATCAGTAAGATAGACACAGTCTTGCCTTCCATGGAGCTTATGGCACTCAACAAGCATCAAATGAAAGAGGCAGAAAAAATGTGATTAACTAAAAATGTTTATCTGATTGATTACCCACCCAATGCAGGAACTAGCAAGGCCTTATTTCTGTCAATCTTTGTTGTCATCTGATTGGTTAAAACTACCTAAAAAAACAAAATGTGAGAAAATTGGGTGAGTCTCTCCTAAAATTACCAAGTAAATAGTTTTGTTATTTTAGTATTCTGACTATAACTAAAGACATGTAGATAATGAAAACTTTTGATAAATTTTTTAAATTTACCCATAAAAATGAGCAGTTATCTGAAAATATGATACCACTGAACATAAAACATTTTTCAACAGACAAGAACAAAGAAGCTTACATTGTGAAAATGGAAGAATAAAAATATAATAGATAATGCATAAAGGTCTAAAGAGACCATGTGTAAAAACTTTATAACTGGGAGCATCAGAAAAACCACACTTTTGAAATTTTAATTTTGTATAAGTCAATAGGAAAAATCAGATCAATAGTAACGTCAGGAGTGGTAATAAACATTTACTGAGTATTTAATACATGCCAGAAACTATTCTAAGTGCTTTACCTCATTATCCTATCTAATATTCATTATTAGATGAATAATTCTACAAATAAGTTATTATTTATTATTATTCCACTTTAACACATAAGAAATTCAGAAGATTAGAAAGACTGAGTGTGTGTTCTTTACCACTATTTTCTCTCTAAATGTATTTATTCAAAGAAATATGAACTCCATAATAACTCAATGTTTGCATTTTTAGGGAAGAGATATAGTAAGTACTACCATTTATGATGTTATGGGGAAAAAACTGAGGCAAATAATTATGAGATGAGACCTAAAAACATAAAGAAAGTACAATATAAGTGGAAGAACTGGAAAAAATGAAACCGAGTAAACAGGCCAAATGATCCCAAATTATAATTATGCTAGTATAGTGATAATAGAGATAGGCACTGCTTCACTCAGATGGCCCTGAAGGCTGAAAATCCTAATTGTTTTGATTAAACAGTGGCTTTTAAAACAGATTCCACGTTTTGAAAGATAGTCATTTTTAAGTAGAGAATATGAAAGTGTTTAAGGCTGGCTCAATATAGTGAGCACCGGGCACTTTCTCATCCAAAATTCTCTAGAAACAGTTATGTTAAATATTCTTCCAATATAGACCTTCCCACCAGAAATAAGACACATACTATTGCAAGTAAAAAGTGATAAAGAACTTCTGCAAAAAGCAATGAGAAAAGGTACCTAATCTGAAAAGTTATCAGTTCCACAAGAAAGCCAAGAAAGAAAAAGATGGTTTGGCTCTTCCCACTGCAGTGGTAACTGTNAAGTCAATAGAAACAATCAGATCAATAGTAACATCAGGAGTGGTAATAAACTCCTGAAACTATGCTAAGAGCTTTACTTCATTACCCTATCTAATATTTATTATTAGATGAATAACTATGAATGAATTATTTATTATTATTCTACTTTACCACATGAGAAATGAGAAGATTAGAAAGACTGAGTCTGTTCTTTACCACTGTTTTCTCTCTAAATGTATTTATTCAAAGGAATATGAATACCATAATAACTCAACATTTGCATTTTTAGGGAAGAGATATAGTAAGTACTACCATTTATGATGTTATGGGGAAAAAACTGAGGCAAATAATTATGAGATGACACCTAAAAACAGAGAGAAAGTACAATATAAGTGGAAGAACTGGGAAAAAATGAAACCAGGTAAACAGGCCAAATGATCCCAAATTAAAACTATGCTAGTCTAGTGATAACAGAGATAGGCACTGCTTCACTCAGATGGCCCTCAAAGCTAAAAATGCTAATTGTTTTGATTAAACAGTGGCTTTTAAAACAGATTCCACGTTTTTAAAGATAGTCATTTTTAAGTAGAGAATATGAAAGTGTTTAAGGCTGGCTCAATACAGTGAACACCTGGCACCTTCTCATCCAAAATCTCTAGAAACAGTTATGTTAAATATTCTCCCAATATAGACCTTCCCACCAGAAATAAGACACATACTATTGCAAGTAAAAAGTGATAAAGAACTTCTGTGAAAAGTAATGAGAAAAGGTACCTAATCTGAAAAGTTATCAGTTCCACAAGAAAACCAAGAAAGAAAAAGGTGGTTTGGCTGTTCCCACTGCAGTGGTAACACCCTCAAATTTTTTGTTTTAGGAGAAGTCAGTGATCCATCTAGATTCCAATTAGGCACCACCTGGATGACATGACTTCCTTCTAGTTCCTCTCCCTTTAAGTGCTATAGCGGCTTCCCCAAGCATCTCACCTCACACTAGCCATCTCAGAACAAGGTAAGCAGGAATTTAAACTGGGAATTAACTGAAATATATGACTAATGGCATCACAGCATGCTGAATAATACCATTACTGTACATACAGCCACAACTGGAGTCCCCAACAGGCTGAATAATACCCTTTACAGGACATACTACCAAGGATTTAAGCTCTAACAACCGGAATATTTACTCACACTTTTTGGTTAGAGGTGCACTGTCCAATTCTGCCGCCATTAGCCTCATATAGATTTTTAAATTAAAACAGAAATTCAGTTCTTTAGTAGCATTAGCCATATTTCAAGTGCTCAACAGCCATGCAACTACTGTATTAAACTGAGCATTTTAATCTTTACAGAAAGTTCTATCTCAGCACTCATTTAGAGTGTAGAGGCTTCCACTGCTTTTTGAAGGTTCACATTAATGCCACTTTGCTTTTATGAAAAGACCCAGTCTCAGATTTGCTAACTGAAGGAGATCCATAGAGGACTTCTGCTTTTATGAAAAAAGGTGAAAAGCAAAAATAGCATTCAGCATTTGTTTTGCAGTGAGCTGTTACAGACGCAGGGTGCAACCTGAGCAGTGAGATGGGTACTGCCAGCTCCCTTCCTGGGAGCTACACCCAGCTTCTCAGCAGCAAGCCACCATAAGCTTTGAGCTGTATCTGTGAGCATCTGTGCTGCTATATCTTGATTTATTTTGTGCATGTGTTAGCAAGATGTGTCCTAAGATATCAGAACAGCCTAAAAGAGGTTGCTTTTTGGATATGCGAAATCTAAAAAATGTTTCCATATAAATTAATGGTGATTGCTTCTTTGCTTTATGCCATGTTGGCATACAAAAGGTTTCACTGCAACACTCTACTTTCAGACAGCTGGGGAAACCTGTATTTAGTTTTTCTGTTACATTCTTTTTTTCTATTAATATACAATACTGTATTGGTTTCAAGTACACATGTAGTGTTTCGATAGTTACCTACATTATAAAACGCCCACCCCAACTAGTGTAGTTTTATCTGTCAACATAGAAAGATATTACAGAACTATTGACTATAATCTCCATGCTGTACTTTCACCCCTGTGACTAATTTATATTATGATTGAGATTTTGTGCCTCTTTATCCCTTACACATCCATTACATATTTTGAAGATAATGTAAATAGATGTACTTGCTTACCAATTGTTCAATAACCCAAAATTACAATTTGTACTGTCAGCAAATATTTATAAAACAATTACACTACTTCTGCAAAAATGTTGGGCTTACCACAATACAAATGTAAAGTACTGTATAGTTAGTACAAACTCTTAAGGAATGAGTCTTTAAAATAGTGAAGTGACAATCAACTTGCAATTATGAGCTTCATTGTTTTAAAAATTCTTCCACTGCCCAAATGTCCTTTAATTGATGAACAGATGAACAAAATGTTATATCAAGAAAATGCAAAATTATTCAGTCATAAAAAGAATATTGATATATACTACAACATGGATGAAAACATGCTAAGAAGCCACACATACAAGACCACATATTGTATGCTGTTATTTATATAAAATACCAGAGCAGACAAACCCATGGAGATACAAAGGAGACTAGTGATTATTAGGGACCAAAGGGAAGATGCAATAGGGAGTGATGGCCAATGGGTAAGGGATTTATTTTTCTGGGATGATGGAAATGTTCTAAATTAGATGGTAGTGATGGTTGCACACTAAATACACTAAAAACAACTGTACTATTCCAAATTTTACAGTATATCTCAATAAAGCTGTTTAAAAAAAAAGCCTTTCTGCTAATGAATAAATGTATCTCTAAAAGGACTCTCTCCATATTAGGTTGGCCAAGACTTAGGATTCAAAGTTCACTGAGATGTGGGAAAACAAGAATTGCCATTCATTGCTGTGGATAATATATTTTGGAACACGTTTTCTGAAGGGAATTTGATAATATATAAACAAAATGTTTAAAAATAGAGATATCCCTTTGGCTTAATACTTTCAGAAATAACTGGACAAATGGACAAATAAACATACATAAAGTTGTTGATTGCAGTGTTTTAAGTGGTGAGAAACTGGAGCCAACTTTAAAGACAATCAATAGGAAGATAGTTAAAAAACTATGCTATAATCCTACAATGGAATACTGTGTAGTTGTCAAGGTGAGGTAGGCTTATAAAGTAGTATATAAGGAAAGATGTTCACAAGCTACTAAGTGAAAAACAAAAAACTGCTTTGTATATCAATAGGTATGATATGATCTCACTTTTAAAAAATGTGTATGTATGCATAGCATTAGTCTGCAAAAATATGTACAACATGAATAATCACCACTGGGTTATAAATAATTGCTTATTTTCTACATTATTATTTAGAACTTTCCTTACAGCAAGCTATATATCTTAAAATTATAAACTGTATCTTCTATCAAAAGTCATATATGCTCCTATACATGCTAACTGGGAAATTAAAAATCAAACAAAGAAGAATTTATAAGTAAGAGGGGAAAGTATGCCTTCAACCCCACAAAATCCTATCCCTGGAAGTAACCACTGTGAACGTTTTGGTCCTTCCAGATCTTTTTCTCCATATATATAAATATAAATGGACATACATCATTTTTATTTTTTCCAAAAGTGGGATCACACTAAATATACTGTCATGTAACTTGAATTTTTTCACTTAATCATATATTTGGATATATCTTATTTGACATTAGTATGTTATATTTATACTGCTCTTCGTAAACATTGCATAGTATTCCACAATACTGTTTAGATTACTTTCTTAATCAGAAAAGATGAAGCTATCTTTCTACTAAGAACAAGCAAAACCCTAAGGAATTACACAACCCATTAGTCTTGAGTGCCCCCTATTGGGAATTCTGCACTGATAGTAACAGAATGACAAATTACAAATTCATGAAAGATACTCAAAGACAGGCCCCTACAATTTTCAGCAAGCGGCAAAGAAACTCTAAAAACTCAAAAGATGTATGTTTTGAAATAATTTTATCAAGGAGTTCTTTATTTACTTATGATGTGTTACAGCTACATGACAAGGACCCTCTAACTAGGGTAAAGCCAAGAAAACCAAGTTAAGTAGTTTGACCGTTTCCCATTTCCTCCCAGGCAAGTGTGAATATTTGTGTGAGCGGTGGAATGGGGTTGCAGAGTGGGAAGTGACTGCAAACAGAAAGTAAAGTTTTTATCTCACTCCTTTTTATCTGTTCACTTCCAAACTTATCTTTACCTCTCTTGACATTTCAAATCAAGAAGAGTTGGGTCAACCCCAAACATCTAATTGCCTACACCATGTAATTTTTCTATCCTTCTGAACCTGTGATTATACACTATGTAAGAATCAAAGACTCAGAGTGAGAAAAACCAGGGGTGTTGGAAGGGCTTACCTGGAAAAACATCAAGTGTACTTAGACAAAGAAAACACTGCAACTACCAAAGGTAGTTATGCTTGTTATTTTCCAGGACACTGAAACAGAATGCTTATGACTGGAATTTTTAATGAAAACCAAAACAAAACAAAACTACATTCAAAACCGTATGTCAGTATCATTTAGTCAGGCAAATTCTATTTTGTTATTTCTATACAAGCTTGACTTGAGTATGAAATTCTCTTGACTAGTAATACTTACAGCTAATCTGTGATTATTTGCAAGGCTGATCATTTGCTGGGCAAAGCCATTTAGTAATCGAGTTCGAAGGGACAGGTCATCTAGGTCATGATGAAAAGGAAAAGCAATACTGTCCACTACCACTAATCGAACCTAAATAAGAAGAGACAATGATAACGGGTTTGAAATTAAAATTAAATTTTTAAAATGGAATTCCAAAAGCATGGTCCATTGCAAACAAAACAAAATTAAAATCCAGGGTTCTAGATTCTGCAAAGTCTTTATTTTGGTGACTGTAAATCTGTACAACTAACACTTTCTGCACTTTTCACCAAAAATTAAAATGCACTCTGGTTTGATAATTTATCAACTTAAAGAAGTAATTTAATGAAAAGAAAAAGGAGCAATTATAATTTTCTTATAATCTGCCACAAAGTCTTTACAGAGATATATTAACACTGATAAAAAATACTTTGGAAGTCTTAGTAAAACAAGTTTCTCAAATATGTCAATTATTCTTTCAGAGTTCTTTTTATGTTAAAAAAGAAAAGTCTTCAAATGGTAAAATATCTTCTTCCAAAACTTAATATTCATTTATTTTTTTCCCTTTAAATTTTGTGGGGTTTTTTCTTTTTATATTTTTATAACTGAAAACATCGATACACAATAGATAACAATATTTGAAACCAATATCATATTGGTTTCAGTTTTTCTCCTAAATTTTAGATATACTATAGGATAACCAAGCATTACAGAATTCAGCATGAGGCAGGTTTCTCTTGAATTCCAATTAAGAGGCTTACTTATAAACATTTCCATGACAGTTTCGTTTCAAACATAATCAAAGTAATTGCCCCTACAGTGAAGTTATAGTAGTATCGGTTAACCCTTGACAATGTGGGTGTTAGGGGCTGTGGCCCCTGCCTGCCCCCTGCAGCAGAAAAACTGCATGTAACTTTTGATTCCCCAAATATTTCACTACCAATAGCCTACTGTCGACCAAAGTCTTACCTGTAACATAAAGTCAATTAAGACATTTGTATATGTTATGTATTACAAACTGTATTCTTACAATAGAGTAAGACAGAGAAAAGAAATATTAAGAAAATCATAAGGAAGAGAAAATACATTTTCAGTACCATATAGTATTTATTGAAAAAAATCCACAATTGTATATAAACCTAAGATCCAAGAACAGAATCTGGAAACTAATCCAAATATTAACAAACAAAAAACTATAAAATCATGTATTTTTCTATCTAATAAAGGATCAGACTACAGAGGATTTTTGAAGCAATGTCTAAATAAGCAATTTCATACCTTTTATTCAGAGTATTCATTCCTCCATTCAGTAAATATTTATTGACATCTACTATATGCGAGTCACTGTTTTAGGCATTGGGGAACCAGAGACAGGGTCCATACTCTCTTGAAGTTCACATACTAATGGAGTGAGGGACAATTAACATTTAAGCAAATATATGAATAAGATGATTTCTGGCAATTAAAAGAGCCACAAAGAAAGTAAAACTGGGTGAAGTGATAAGTAGGTAATGGAGAGGGAGAGGCTAACAGACTAAACGTGAGGGAAGGCATCAATGAGGAGGCAGGCAACAGAACTGAGTCCTGGATAAGTACCTCTAGGATGGAAAGACAACCTATGCATAAGGAACAGGAAGGGCAAAGATGCTGGAACCCAAGTTTGGCATGATTAAGGGTAAAAAAAGAAAAAAATAGTGAGGGGAGTGGTAGGAAATTATACAATTATACAAGAAAGGTACAGTGCTGTGCTGAAGCCAAATCCTACACAAAAATACAGCAAATAAAATGAATCTTGAAAAAGGGATCCAAAGAATGTAGAACAGACTGCCTATATTTGGGGAAAAGAGAAGATCTCATAAAAAAGGGTAAAGTAGCAAAATCACAATCCAGCAGGACCCAAGGCCTGCCTCCACACCAGCCCACAGGCCAAAGGAAGAGAAACAGTGGGGAGGGAGTAGAAGTCTAGGACTGCTGAACACCCAGCCCTGGAGATCTGCTCTGGGAGCATAAACTCACATCACATGGAGCTCTGGAGATTACTGGGGTTGCAAAGCAACAATGGGCAGAACACTCAAACTGAGATTCCAGCTGCTTGTGGAGAAGAGGTACACACTACTGGCACCCCTGGGATAAAAGAAAGAAGGGCAGGTCGAAGGACTATCCAGCAGAGAGAGCGGTACTAAAGGGGCCAAGATTACACACAGCTCTCTACTCAGGAGAAAATGCAGGCGGACAAAACAATCCTGGCACACTCAGCACAGCAGGTTGGGAACTCTCAGGAGCTTCAGATGCTACATCCCCCTTGGCTGGCAACACCACCCCAAGACCCACCACTTTGGTATACAGCCTGCGGCTCTTTCCCCCTGGCAGGCTGTGTGTCCCTGTCCATGGTAGCTATAGGAGCACAGCACCTAAGATGCTCCCTGTCCACTCGGGGCACTGGACCTGGCAGTGGAGGCAGGCGTTGCAGGCGGGAAGGCAAGAAACCCTCCAGGCCAAGCTCTTTTCTCCCTGTATGTGCCAGTTCAGCTAGCCTGTGACCCCTGCCTCTGCTGCAGGCACATGGCAGTACCAGAGAGTAGAGTTTCTGAGCGCTACAGGGCGCCATCTACACAAAGTTATTAATCCATTGGAAACACTAAAAAAATGAAGCAGCAAACGAATTTGGTTGAAACAAAATTACAAGAACAAAACGCTAGAAAGAGGGGTTAGTGAAACTGAAATCACCAATGCTCTTGATTAAGATTCCAAAATAAAAGCCATAAACAAGCTCATGGACCTACAGAAAAATACTCAAATCTCAATGAGGACTTCAACAAAGAGATAGAAATACTTAAAAATACAGTGTTTGAAATGAAACATACAGTGGGGGGATTTAAAAGTAGATTAGCTGAGGTAGAGAAGAAGGTAAATGAAACAGAAATTAGAGAACAGGAATACAAAGAAGCTGAGGCAAAGAGAGAAAAAAGAATCTCTAGGAATGAAAGAATAGTAAGAGAGATATGCGAACAATTCAAATGGAACAAAATTTGTATTATTGGGATACCAGAAGGACAAGAGAGAGACAATGGAAAGAAAGTTCTTTGTGGAAATAATTGTTGAAAACATCCCCAATCTGGGGAAGGAAATAGTCCCTCAGGTCATGGAAGTGCAGAGATCTCCCAATAGTCCCTCAGGCCATGGAAGTGCAGAGATCTCCCTAGGCAGACAACATCAAGACATAAAATAATTAAAATGGCAAAGATCAAGGACAAGGAGAGAATACTGAAAGCAGACAGAGACAGAAAAAAGATCACTTATAAAGGAAATGCCATCAGGCTATCAGCAGAAACCTTACAGGCCAGAAGGGAGTGGCATGATATCTTTAATGCAATGAAACGGAAGGGCCTCCAATCAGGAATATTCTACCTGGAAAGATTATCACTTACATTTGAAGCAGGGATTAAACAATCTCCAGATAAGCAAAAGTTGAAGGAATTCACCACTCACAAACTCTCTCTACAGTGCATCTTAGATGGACTGCTCTAGATGGAAGTGCTCATAAGGCTAAATAGCTGTCACCAGACAAAATAAACCACAGTAAATGAAGTACACTAATTAATAACTAAGCAAATACAAAATTAAACCAACTATTCACAAAGTTAGTCAAGGAATTTGGTACAAACACAAAGGGATACAAAAGAGTACAGAATATGACACCTAGCATGTAAAGGGTGGAGGAGGAAGGGGAGAAAAACAATAAAAAAAGAACCTTTACACTGTGTTTGAAATAGCAAAATCAGTGAGTTAAGACAGACTGTTAGAAGGTAAGGAAGCTGCCCTTGAACCTTTGGTAATCACAAATCTAAAGCCTACAATGGCAATAAGTACACATCTGTAGATGATCACCCTAAATGTAAATGGACTGAATGCACCAATCAAAAGACACAGAGTTACAGAATGTATAAAAAACAAGACCCATCTATGTGCTGCCTACAAGAAGCTCACTTTGAACCCAAAGACATACACAGACTAAAAGTGAAGGGATGGAAAAAGATATTTCATGCAAATAATAGGGAGAAAAGAGCAGGAGTAACAGTACTTATATCAGACCAAATAGATTTCAAAACAAAGAAAATAACAAGAGCCAAAGAAGGACATTACATAATGATAAAGGGGTCAGTCAAACAAGAGGATATAACCATTATAAATATCTATGTACCATTATAAGAGCACAAGCATATGTGAAACAAATACTAACAGAATTAAAGGGGGAAATAGAATGCAACGCACTCATCTTAGGAGACTTCAACACACCACTCACACCAAAAGACAGATCAACCAGACAAAAAATAAGTAAGGAGACAGAAGCACTGAAGAGATAGATCTAACAGAATCTACAGAAGACCCCACCCCAAAGCCCCACAATACACACTCTTCTCAAATGCACATGGAACATTTTCCAGAATAGATCACATATGAGGCCACAAAAAGAGCCTCAGTAAATGAAAAAAGATTGAAATTGTGCCAACTAGATTCTCAGACCACAAGGTATGAAATGGGAAATAGATTATGCAAAGAAAACAAAAAAGCCCACAAACACATGGAGGCTTAATAACATGCTCCTAAATGATCAATGGATCAATGACCAAATCAAAACAGAGATAAAGCAATATATGGAGACAAATGACAAGTCAGCCCAAAAACCTGTGGGAAGTAGCGAAGGCAGTTCTAGGAGGAAAGCATATAGCAATACAGGCTTACCTCAAGAAAGAAGAGCAAACCCCAAATGAGCAGTCTAAACTCACAATTAATGAAACTAGAAAAAGAAGAGCAAATGAAGCCCAAAGTCAGTAGGAGAAACATATTAAAGATCAGAGCAGAAATAAATAAAATTGAGAAGAATAAAATAATAGAAAGACTCAGTGAAACCAGGAGCTGGTTCTTTGAGAAAATAAACAAAGTAAATAAACCCCTAGCCAGACTTAATCAGGAAAAAAGAGAGTCTACACACATAAACAGAATCAGAAATGAGAAAGGAAAACAATTACTACGGACACCATAGAAATACAAAGAAATATGAGAGAATACTATGAAAAATTATGCCAACAAATTGGATAACCTAGAAGAAATGGGACAACTTTCTAGAAAAATACAACCTTCCAAGACTGACCCAGGAAGAAACAGATAATCTGAACAGACCAGTTACCAGCAATGAAATTGAACTGGTAATCAAAAAACTGCCTAAGAACATACCTGGCCAGATGGCTTCATGGCTGAATTTTATCAAACATTTGAAGAAGAGCTCATTCTCCTTAAAGTTTTTCAAAGGTAGAAGAGGAGGGAATACTTACAAACTCATTCTATGAGACCAGCATCAGCATCACTCAAATATGAAAACCAGGCAAAGACACCACAAAAAAAGAAAACTACAGACCAATATCCTTGATGAACATAGATGCAAAAATCTTCAAAAAAAATATTAGGAAACAGAATTCAAAAAAACATGATGTAAAAGCACACTGAAGGAACAAAAGAGCAGCAGACTCACAGGCTCCAAGAAAGGACTAGAGTTACCAAAGGGAAAGGGTTGGCGAGGGCGATGGGGATTAAGGGGCAGTATAATTAGCAATCACAATATAGGTACATCACAGAGAAGTCAAGCTGTGACTCTATAGCATCTTACTACACTGACAGACAGTGACTGCAATGCGGGTGTGAGGACTTGATAATATGGGTGAATGTTGAAACCACATGTTGCTCATGTGAAACCTTCATAAGATTGCGTATCAGTGATACTTCAATAAAAAAAAAAGCATCACCTGAGTGCAAGTCATTTTCAACAAGTTGTAATCTTTTTGCCGGTGCAGGGCTTTGCCTCAGTATTGATGGCTGCTGACTCATGAGGGTGGTGGCGGCAAAAGCCTGGGGTGGCTGTGGCAATAAGTAAGACAGCAATGAGGTGTGCTGCGTTGATGTACTCTTCCCTTCATGAACAATTTCTCTGTAGCATTAGATGCTGTTTGATCACCTTTCACCCACAGAACTTATTTCAAAATTGGAATCAATTCTTCTAGAACCTGCCATTGCTTTACCACGTATGTTTATGTAATATTCTAAATACTTTGTTGCCATTTCAACAATCTTTACAGCATCTTCTCCAAGAGGAGTAGATTCCATCTCAAGAAAACATTTTCTTTGCTCATCTGTAAGAAGCAACTCCTTTAAGATTTTATCATGAGATTTCAGCAATTCAAATATAATAATAATGAAAAAGTTTTAAATATTTCAAAAATTATCAAAAAGCGATACATAGAAATGAAATCAGAAAATGCTGTTGGAAAAATGGCACCAACCAACGTGCTGGACAGAGGGCTGCCACAAATGTTCAATTTGTAAAACACACGATTATTTTTGAAGTGCCATAAAAGGAGGCTACCTGTAGGAAGATACGCTATATTCATGGATTACAAGACTCAATATTGTTATAATCTACAGATTCACCATAATTTCTCTCAAAATTCCAACCACATTTTGCAGAAACACACAAATCCATCAAATTCATAATGCAATTGAGAGGCCAGTGAATAACCACAACAATCTTGACAAAATTGAGAACTCAAGATGTCTCAATTTCAAAGCATACTATCAAGCACAGTAATCAAAACAATGTGATACTAACATAAAAAGAGACACATACATCAATAGAACAGAGCCCAGAAATTAACCCACACTTCTACGGTCAACTAATGTTCAACAAGGACACCAAGTCCATTCAATGGGGAAAGAATAGTCTTTTCAACAAACAGTGCTAGGACAAGAAAGGAAGAGATTACTGAATTGGTTCATGCCAATGTACTATTTTTACATATTTTTCATGCTAATCAAACACCTCCAAAAATCCTTGATTAGTTATAGTTCAGGAGTCTGAGCCATACCTTTGAGTGTTCTGAAAGGAAGTCTGGAAGGAGATAAACTTGTGCCGGTAGCTCTATGTAGTCACGACAACGAAAATAATAAATATTAGAAAGAATATTTAACTATTTTTAAGTGTACAATTCAGTAGCATTAATTGTATTCACAGTGTTTTGCAAGTGCTTTCCAGAACTTTGTCTCACAAACCTGAAACTCTACCCATTAAACAACTCCCAGTTCCCCTTCCCCTTCCCCTAGCCAGGGGCAACCACCACCTCCTGAAAATTCCTCCATATTGTAGCATGTGTCAGAATTTTCACTTTTGAGGCTCAGTAATATTCCATTGTATGTCTATACCAGATTGTTTGCTTATCCATCTATGGGTGGACACTTGGGTTGCTTCTACCTCTTGGCTGTTATGAATAATGCTGCTGTGTACATGGGTGTACATCCTTTCCCACTTTTTAACTGGGCTGCTTTTAATTTAAAATACATATTTGTAATAGGTCTACTTTTATTATTATGAGAAACAATAAGTAATAATTTTTGTGCTTACTGTGGGCCAGGTATTCTGCTCATCTTGTGTATTTTTAGTTATGAGCTTGGGAGGCTCTAAAGACCCGTCAAAACACAATTTATTTTTGCTTTGGAGAGGAGACACTCCTGATGAGGAAGGTGGTTTCCAACGGTGAGGGCCATCATCACATCGCGGGCTGCGCGGGTCCCTGTGAATTCTCCAAACACGTGTGTAGGTGGGGGCGCTGTGGGAGCTTTTCGCTAGTTTGCTCCCATCAAAATTAGAATCAGTGTTTGTGCAACTGATCTTTCACTTAAAGGTGATTTTTTGCTGCAGATTTGAAAGAGCATGTTTTATACTTGTCGGTGAAGCTTTGAACGAACAACTTATTTTTGGTAATACGTGGACTGGATTTACAGATTGTAGTTTTGCCAAATTTCACCTCTTTAGAGTTGCTCTTTCAGTTACGTGATAGCTGCTTTTGAAGTGCGCCAAACATCAGTGACGTCTCTAGCGCGAGCACTTGAAGGAACTAAATTGTTTCCCTTTAAATCCGTAGAGCGTCTTTCCAGTTTTATGGGAACACCACTTACTGAGCAAAGACGCGCTAAATGAGATCAGCAAAAGGGGTGTGGAATATGTAGATTAGCGCAGTGACTGCTGGTCATGCTTACACTAGGCATATATTTCCCAAGATTTTGGCAATATGCAGGTATGCAAACTAGTGTCTCCTGGTAGTTATCGTCTGAAGACTCTATTCCAGAAAGAACGGGAACGGTAGGCTGCATGAGAAAAGCACCCCTCTGTGCATAGTGATTTGAATCTGAGGGTGAGGGGTCAGGCACGCTTTATTTTTCATACTTACTTAGCAGGGAAAACACCATGATCACGAAGGCGGTTTTCTAACGGTGAGACTTATCCCTTGTTCTTAGGGTTTGCTGACCTCTGCCATTTCCCCAGATGTGGGAAACTCAACTGCGTAATTTCTGGTAGTGGGCAACTGTATCTTTAAGCTTTCTCTTGGTTTTATTTGTACGTAAAAGGACTTTTCTGTACGTAGTGCTTGTAATAACTCAAAGAGGTGTTTTAATGTAGCTTAAATCTTTTGGGCACCTCATGTATTCCAGGAGTTATTCAGACTATTTCTGTGTTTCAAAGGCTTCTTAGTTTTACTCTTGATCTGATATATTTCACTCAGGTTACAGCAAGTTCGAAGAAGTAAATCAAGCTTCTGTTTCGTGAGGTTGAAAAGTAAGGCTTGGGGCTATTTTTCTTCTAATGGAGAGCTTCCTTTTCCCAAGCTTCCGGAAGCTCTCTCTCTCGTACTCCCTTGTTTGTAGTTCTCGTTTCTGACATTTGTTTCTTTGGCCTTTCTGCTTCCTTCCTGAGAACCCTGACCTTGATAATTTTAGGTACTCCCACATAAAATCTTTGGTCACATCAGCAAAATTCTTTTTGCCCCAGAGATATATTCACAGGTTCCAGGGATTAGGACGTGTGGGACGTTTTTTTGGTGGGCCGTTCATTATTTAGCCCACCACATCAACCAAACCTGCAGATTTCAGGAGCTGTAGTGAGGTCACCAGAAGTTGCTCAGAGTAGGTAAATGAGCCCAGCGTCTGTCTGCTGGTCGTGTTCAGGATTGTATTTATGTGTTTATGGTTTTTGCAAATTTCCCAGTATCCGACTGTTACTGTTGTAGGTTCTACAGTTTGGAGAACTCTTGTTTCGTGACAGTGTAGAGCTTGCCTGACGAGAGTGACCCTTTGTGTCCAGTGTTTGGAATCCGATGGGGAGGTGCCAGGAAGCAGGGTGTTTTTTTTTTTGTACTTACCTGTCAGGGGAGATACTATGATCATGAAGGTGGTTTTCCCAGAGTGGGGTTCATTCATTGCACACACTCAGGTGTGCTGACTTCTGCAAATTTCCCCAGTGGGAAGCTTGGCTACATACTTTGTGGCAGTGGGGGACTGCGCTCCTGTTTTCCTTATCAACTTGCATTTTAGAAGACACTCTAGTCTAAGGGGTTTATTCAAGACAACCCCTTGAGTTAGGTGCTGTTATTGTCTCTATTTTGCAGTTGAGGAAATTAAGGAATGGAGAGGTAAACTTACACAAGTCACACAGCTAAGGAGTCAGGATTTGAACCCAAGCAGTCTGGTTCTAGGCTTTGTTTAGTTGCATCACGAAATAGGGCTTCTGATTGAATCACAGATCTCGATGTTGGCCTAATTATTTTCTGAGCATGACATTTAAAACTTCATGGACATAATTTTTCTTGGTTATTAAAAAGAAACTTCAGGATCTTATAATACTGAAGGGCCATCATCCATTAAAAGCTTTTATGTCATTTGGAGTCTCTTAATTGTGATTTGCTAGATAAACATTTGAATGTTAGATAACTGAATGCCCTTTTGCAAATGGAATTTTCCTCTGTTGAAACTCTTCTTCATCCTGTAGGCAGTAGATCTCTAATACTTTGGGGAGTGTTTGATCAGTTCGTATGGACTGTGTTAGGACTTTGGCTTTTGAAGAAAGTGGAAGCCTAGCTCCTTGTTTTTCTCTCACCTGGTCTGCCTCTCACCCTTTCATGCAGCTATATGACTTTGACTTTCAATACCCTCTTCCTGCCAGTCCTCTGTGCACTCAGCCGAAAAGAGCAACATCATTGGCCTGGCATAAGACAACTCTGCCAGTGGTCAGAAACAGATCTGCTTTATGGGTGCTGCCTCCTCCAGAGAAGAAAGCCTGCTCTGTCATTCCAGGATGGCAGTCTAAGACCGCGTGCCACCTGCCTTGTTTTCTTGCCAGGATCGCATGTTGGACTCTGTAGTGGCCCCTGTGAGATGGCTGAGCAACGGCTCTGTGTGGACTATGCCAAGTGTGGCACAGCTGCCTGCAAAAAATGCAAGGAAAAGATTGTGAAGGGTGTCTGCCGAATCTGCAAAGTGGTGCCCAATCCCTTCTCCGAGTCTGGGGTATGAAAGAGTGGTACCACATTAAATGTATGTTTGAGAAACTAGAGCGGGCCCGGGCCACCACAAAAAAAATTGCGGACCTTGCAGAGCTAGAAGGCTGGGAAGAGCTGGAAGATAACGAGAAGGAACAGTAAGCCAGCACATTGCAGGTGGAGTAGAGAATACTACTTTCTCATCTCACTGGTGCTGAGAGAAAATGGGATAAGGAGAGTAGAGTCCTATTTTTTTTCCTCCTTCCTCCCTCCCTCTTTTTATTTGGAAATAATTTCAACCTCACAGAAGAGTGACAAGATTAAAACAGTATAAAAAACACTCCTACCCCTTTTACCCAGATTTGTCTGTTAACATTTTGCTCCTTATCATTTGTGTTCATTGGTGCACACACTTTCTCCTTCTATACCCACGTACAGTTTTCTTCCTCAACCATTTGAAAGTAAGTTGCACACATCATGGCCCTTGGTTTTAAATACTTCAATATGTACATTTTAAGAATAGGACTATTCTCTTACATTACTGTAGTGCAACTATCAACTTCAGCAAATTAACCCTTGATACATTTTACTTTATTCTAGTTTTGTCAATTGATCAAATAATATCTTTTATAGTTTCCCCCCTCCAGAATCCCAATTTAGAATCAGGTTTTGCATTTAGTTGTTATGTCTTTTTGGCCTCCGTTAATCTAGAACATTTCCATAGTCTTTCCTTTATAACACTGACATTTTTTGAAGAATAGAGTACCTTCCACCACCCCCCTTTTACTTACCAATTTATCTGTGTGGACTCATAGATTACTTTCTCCTGATGGTTTATAATTTTACTGTACTTGATTAATTTGGTACTTAAATCATACCATATTTGGCCAGTGTGGAGCCCCTATGAGCAGGTTTCTGTGTCCTACATGTTCTCATCATTTTAAAAAAATGCTTTAAGGTATGTCTGGCATAATAGTAGGCTTTTAGGCTTGCTTTGTGTGTATCTATCCCCAGCCCTGGACTCAGCCATTTCTGAGGAGCACTGGTCCCCATTAGGGGAGAATGGCATTCGAGACCAAAATCCAGATGCTGCATGTCCATGAGGACAAGAACTAGAGAACATGTGTAATGTATATACACAAAACACATAAGTGCATACACAGATACATATATATGCTCATATACATGCATATTTTAGAAATCTTACATTGATACCACCAAATCCAATTAATTATAACCCTCAGTATCTTCATCTTTAATATAGCTTCAATTAAGTATAGGTCTAGTCATTGTAGGAGGACTCTAACAGTGGCTCGAAAAATGGGTATCCTTGTTCTTTGAGAGGAAAAAAGACTTCCAAGAGGGAAAAACTACTCATCTATTCCTTGAAGACTCCTTCATGTTCCCTAGCTTGCCCTGCCCTTAGCCATTGGCCTCACCTTTGTTACCTCTTGACCCACCTCATTCAGAGGTAGAGGAGTGCAGGGTAGGCAAACTGTCTCACTGCTCCAATATCAGAAGGTGGAAGCTCTCCTGCCTCGGCCAAACCAATGTGCTCTGTTACTCATCTTTGTTTTACTTTCTTATTCATCTACAAATTGGGGTAATTCCATGGAGCTGAGGTCTTTTGAGGTGTGATTTCTGGTTTCCCCCCAAATCATCTGGAGATTCTTACATATAAGAAGTGGAGAGTGTTCATGAAATTTTAAGTTACTAATAGAAGTAAAGGGTAACTGGGTCTTTATCCCCAGAGCACTCGTCCCCCAGTACCCTGTTACCCGCTACTTCTATTCAGCAGGACCAACCAGCTGGCAACCTGCCCTGGGGAAATGCCACGGCATAGTAACTTACCAAGCAAGGCTTAAGAGCGGTTGAGAAATTCCTTGGAAGCTTTTTCCGGAATCTTTCGCTGAAGGATATTTTCCCTTTTGGGGTCTACAGATCTGGATTCTAAGTCAGAAAGTACACCAAAGAAGAAAACCGCTGTCCAGGCTAAGCTGACAGCTGCTGGCCAGGTGATATCACCAATACCAATCCTCAGAAATTTTGCGGCTTTTCTGGTAATACAGGTCAGAGCTACTTCAGCTGTTACGTTCTTCCTTTTAGTATGGTATCCTATTTGGGACTCTCGCTAAAAATGAAAATTCTGGTCTACCTAGTCTAATTAATAATTTACTTCCATCTGAACAGAGACAGGTAATGGCTAATTATAATGCTCTACTTATATAGTATTTTGCTGTATACTTTAATTTCTGTTGAAGCAGAAAAGATGCTTGTTTTCTCAAGATTTCTTCCCACTTAAGTAGTACCTGTCAGAGATTATTATAACCTGCCTTTAACTTTGTTTATTTGATAATGAAGGAGTCTTGAAAAATTGCATCCCTGACCTTTCTCAAAGCAGAGATGAAAGTATGGAAGAAGGGAGATGTCGTGCATGACTGTGTGTCATTGACAGTGTTGGGCTAGGGGGTTTTGCATGTGTAGCTTCATTTGTCCTTCAGTTAACCTTGGGAAGTACTTTTATTAGGTCCATTTTATGAACGAAAAAGCTGATGTTCTGGCTCATTGTGGAGTATTTTCACTTTTTTTTTTTTAAACTCTTTTTAACTTCTTTAACCCTCTACTTTAACTCTAGCATCTGTGCTCTTTTACCTGAAACCCTGTTGCCTCTTTTATTTGGAGACATTCTTGTCTGACTCAGGTAAAAAAAAAACCAAAACACATGGACGCAGAATTTGTTTGGGGAGGTAATTTATATGAGTGAAAAAAGCCTAGATTTGAGGTCAGGAGACCTCGTCGTGGGTCAGCACTGTCACCTGACAGCTTGCCCAGGGCAGGAAGTTACTTGACCTCTGAGTCTCTGTGGCCTCATCTGAAGTGGGAATGACAGTGTGCGCCTCATTTCCCCACAGTATTCTCTCCAGGACTAAGGAAGTTACAGTTGCAAAAATGGTGCTGATTCTGGGATTTTTAGTATTTTTTTTTTTTATCAGTATTTGATATGGTAAGGATGTGAAGTACAGATTTGGTGTTGACAAAAGACAATAATGGTGATAAGAAAATGAAAATCCTATCCCATTTAAGTGAACGACTAGACTGGGACTACACGGGTTTGTAAATCCTGACTGTACCACCTAGTATATAGTCACCTTGTACAGGCAAAGTTATTTTTTCTGCTTCAGATTTTTTCTTCTAGAAAAACAGAATGAGACATTACATGTTAAAAAGCTTGGCAGAATACAGGGCCATCCAAAATCCTCAGTAACTCTTAGCTATTCTCATCATGCAGATTCTCTTATCTTTTTCTGTAAAACCAATTTATTAAAAGAAAACTGGCCCATCAAACTTGCGAGGATGTAGACGGCAGTGTAAGATTTAAAAGGAATAGTTAACATTGGGCCTAAAACATTTATTCTTGGGTGGCGAGTTGAAACCTTATTTTCCACTGGTAAGGGCAATGGCTTAATATTCTGTTCTATCTTACTAGCACAGCTCTGGGCAAAGCGTAGTGGAATGCGCTCAGTGAGAATGACTTCAGACAGCTTCACTTTTTTTTATATCTCAGGATGGAGGGGTTTCCATTTACCTAAACTGACTGTTTTGAAATGTGAGGTTTGGCTTTTTTTCAGTGATTTACATAAAAGAAGCGTTGTTGTCTTTCTACTGCTTTCTCCAGGCTCTGGAAACTCTCCCTTTCTCACCTTTACTATCAGGCCCTGCATTTCTCACATTTAATCCCTGCCTCTTGGATTTTGGAATAGCTAAAATTAGGCAGGCTGTCTGGGTCCCAATCGTGGCTCCACAACTTTCTAGCCCCGTCATCACGGAAAGTTACTTAACCTCCCCCGAGCATCGGTTCCTTTCACCTACAAGTTGGATATAATAATACACTTCAAGGGTATTCCTTTGATTATAAAAGAGATAATCCTCAGATCACTCTACAGGCACCGATAAAGCAATTAGTAAATGTTTTGAAGACCACAGTTGCAACCACTCAAACCCTGTTTACGTGGAGTCAAGGAGCCCTTTCACAGTGTAACGCAGCGGCAGGCGGCAGTGGAATCGGGCGGAGCCTGGAGACGGGAGGAGGGAGGCGGGAGGCGGAGGCGGCCAAGACGGCGGGCACGGCGCCTCAGCTTGCCATCGGGAGTCGTTACCTTTGCTGAGCTCGGAGGGTTTTACCTCCAGGAGTTCCTCAGCTGTCCGGAAGCCGGCAGACACCAGCTTCACCCGCACCGCTGGAGACAAAGGGAAACTCACTAAAGCCCGCTGCATTTCAAAGCTGGAGATCTGCGTGCGCAACCGCACGAACCGCGAGAGGCTAAAGTCCCGGCGACCGAACACCGCGCGCCCGCGTCTTTTCCGTCTGACGTAAGGCGGAAGGGGCGGGGCCTGCGGCCTGGCCGTGCTGGGCCTCGGGCTTTGCTGCTGTTCGGAGCCATACCGCAGATTCTCACGTCCACATCGTTGCATTCGTGATTCTCCCATATCCCATTAGTTTCCCCATCAAACGCACATCCTGACAATTAAAGATGGTTGGAGACCGCAGAATGGAGAGCCAGGCCGTATACTGCACATTTCCTCACCTCAGCCTTAGCCTGACAGTGGAAACTAAAGGCTTGTTAATAGTAACTATCTCCCCGAGAAGGAGTAACATACACACAGTGGCCAGCTGCGGGTTTTGAGTATGGATCAGTCATATAAGCATTAACCCTCATCCTCCTCATAGGGTTGTGGGATCCGCTCTTCTCGCCAACGGTTCTCCTCACCTTTCCCGCTCTCGCGCGGGATTGTGGGCCAGCCTCTCCCCCGCCCCCTCGCCCGCCCCTCTCCCCTCGTCGCGCACCCAGGGTCGCGCGGAATGCTCGGCGCCCAATCACCGCAGCCACCCACGCCTTCCCGCGAGTCCATCCTGGAGCTCGACGGTTTCGGAGATGGTTAGTTCTCAACGGCCTGCCTAGCTTAAGAAGTACCTGGAAAAGTAAGCGAGTAATGTCCCCATAGTGGGCTGGGTATGGGCTCCCCCGTTCTGACAGGTGGTAGTTGGGCTGCGCAAGAGCTCTTGCTCTGATGCAGATTTGAGAAGAGGCGGCTTCTAAAATAGAGAACTTTGGCGGTTTGAAAGGTGGTTTTGATGCCCAGGCTCTTGTTGGCGGAGTCGAAGAATGAACTTTGCAAACACTCAAGGTAGGAGAGCAAGGCAGAGGCTTTTATTTAGAGATAAAGGTAGCGGACAGAGCTCATGGCGCAGGCCAGGAAGGGACAAGAGAGGCCCGGGTTGGTGCGTTGTCTAGGGGTTTTATAGGCAGTTGAGAGACAAAGAGCTAGGGATGTACACCTGCTAAGTGGTCCCAAAATGTTTATCTTTGAAGAGACATTCAGTTTATTATTAGTCTTCCTGGTTATTTTCAAGAATTTTACTGCTCTGATTTCCTCCCAGGATAGCAGCTTCCTGGTCTGGGAGCATATCACTCAAGGCTGCCTTCTTTGCTCCTGAGGTGGGCTGAATTATTGTCTGTTCGTTAAGAAACTTACTTTTTAACTAATTGAGTTTTAAGATGCAAATCTTATTTTTAAGATGGAATCCTTCCTGTTTTAACTACGTTGTTTTGGGCTTGCTTGCTTGCCACATTGCCCAGGTTGCAAATCATTTGTTTAGGGCTTTTGTTTAGGGCTTGAGGAAGAAAAGCAGCACCTGGGTAAAGTCAGAAAAACAAGCTGGGCTCCCCAGCAGGCCAAGCAAATCCCACAATGGATTCTTGCTTTGTTTTTTTCCACAGGCCCTCACGCTACTCTGTCTAAGCCCATGGTCCCTGTCTCAGTTTATGATGTCTTTCCTCGTCTAGGTGAGTGAGGTTTATTCTGGGAAGTAACTCATCCCCTACTTTTGGCGATGATTCTTAACCTTGACTTTCTTCCTAGCATAAAGGAATTCCCTAAATACTACAAATCCGAGCTCTTTAAGTAGGTAAGACCTAAGGAAGGAAGCCTGTTGAGCACTTTAGCAAATGCAACACATTTCAAATGCTCACAACCGTGCCACGAGGAAAATAAGGACATAGAAGCTCAGCAGTTTTCTTGAAGCACAACTCAAACCCTTGTACCATTTTTTTTTACTGCGACCTACCTCCAAATTGAGAGATGCTTTTGGTGTGGCAGGTGGGAAGTTGAATTCTAGAAGTGTTTGTCCCCCATTTGGTAGGTCAAGGAAAATCTGGCAGGATTGGTCAAAATGTGGTTTGTGTGCCGCTCGGTATACTGCTTAGCTTCGAGTATGAGTGACATCTGGGTACACAGTAGGCATTACATAAATGTCCTCAGGCAGAGTTTAGCTTTTTGCTTATAAAGCAGGCAGGGGCAGAAGAGATGGTGTTAACATATTCAGGAATAGCTTCTCGGTTAGTTTGGTCAAACTCCGTGGAATCCGTGGTGTTTAGAATTTTGTTTCATTGGCAGTGGAGAGTTAAGAAAGTAGTCAACTCTGTTTGTAGCTATACAATTATGTGCTACTCATAACTTACTCTTACCCGTGAGTTGCCAATAAGTATGGTTTTAGTCATCGTTCTTAAGATTTCTTTAGTGCAGTTTGCTCTGTAGTCAGGCTTTCAAACGGATCCAGGTTTAGGAAGCCAGGCCCCAGAGCTCAACAAAGCTGTGGGATTTTTTATGGAAGGTGCACCTTCCTAGTGTCAAGCTCTTACAAATATTTTTTTTTTAGAGAGGGAAGACTTGAATGACTTAATTAGTAAGCCATTTAAAAATGTTTTCTGTTAAATAAGCGTTAATGTAGAAAAAAGTGCGAACAACAACATTTTTAGGTGTACATGAGACTTTGAAGAAAGGTCCTATTGAAACTGGATACTTCAGTAGTCTCCCAAAGCCTCCTGGGAATATATTTTATTTTCCTTTACAATTTGAGGTTACTTGATGAAAAGTTTTGAGAGGCACTGCTATGGATACATAAGCATGAGCTTTGGAGTCATACAAATTTGGCTTTGTGTCATATCTCTGGAAATGACCAACTGTGAGACTTTCAACAAGTTTCTCAGTGTCCTCACCTGCAAGTAAAAGGTAATATTCCTTTTGGAATATTGGAAAGATTAAATTAATAAATATAAAGTATTTAATACTGAAAAGGTTCATAATAAATCTTATTTTCTTTCTTCACTTAATAGTATTCTATGTGTAGTATTCAGTTGAATCAAGCCTTATTGAATACCTAGCCCAACAGAAGGCTAATGCTGTGAGACATTTTGAAGATACCTACAGTTGTAAAGGGCCAAAGAAAAGTGGTTTTATGTAATTCATTTTATTTGACTTGATCCTATAGTAATACTGTGAACAGTTTACTTGGGTCCCCATTTAAGATTAGCACTGTGAAGACTGGATTACAATGAGGTAAGAATAAATAAAAGTGCTGTTTATGTGCAGGATAACAAGGCAGCCAAGACAGAGTCTCTTCCTTCATGTAGCCCATAATCAATCAGGATTATTTTTGAGTATGTCTGATTTATGTTGCATTTCCAACTTGCATTGCTATCAATAGGAATGAACTATTGCTGTCAGTATCTGTAGTTAACCTGCCTATTCAAATAAGCAGACATTTTCATGCTGACTGGGCTGTTCTCCAGACATGTGGGAGAGGAGTAATATGAGTATTTCTGTTAGAGTTGAGGAATTTATTTTCTTTCAGCCTAATGTCGGTCCCCTCCCTGCTTCTGACCCGCAGACAAGGGAGGAGATGTAATGAGATATCAAAGATCTGAAAGGGCCAGCCAGGGGACTCAAGGCGTAACAGCGCAAGACTGATGCTGAGAGGGCACCCTTCGTATTCATTGAGCAAATACATGTTAACAACGATAGAATTCTGTGGGGGGGACTTAATAGACAACCATTAACTAACTCTAAACTTAATCCTCGGCAGTCTCCAGTCTCCCGGGACGTGAAGTCTTACATGGTATTGAAACAATAGCAAGGGCAATTAGGTCACAGAAACTGTTTTGGTCTTGTTTGGTCTGTTCCTGATCACTTATCAGGAATTACAGGAAAAATAATCAAGTCATATATGATTATACATTTGATTTCTGTACTTGATTTATATATGAATCCCACACTTAAGAATATACAACTTTTAAAAATGGCGACCTTGCATGTTTAAGTTCTTTGGGAATAGGAGAGAGAAATGAGTTCTGTTTGCACTGGAAAGAACTCTGAGGCAAGGCTTAGCTTTAGAGGTGGTTAATGATAAAGCTTCAGGTGTCAGACATATATATTTGGAGTAGCAATATCAATTGGACAAGGCCTTATACACAGTAGTAGCTCAATATATATTTGTTATCATAAACTCTTGAAACACTCCTCTCACTTCTGTGATGCCAGACTTCTCATTTCCTTCCTACCCATCTGGCTTTTTTGTCTCCCTTGCAAGCTCATCCTCCATAACCTGGGCAGGAAATGCCCCAGAGTGGACATTTTGCTGACAGCTCTGTGTTCTTTTCTCCCCTCTTGTTCTCTCTTTCTCCCTTCCTCTTTTCCCCAGACCTTATGCCTTTCTGTTATCTTCCTCACATTTACTGTTCAGTAACCACGTATATGCCAATAATTCTTAGAATTTATATTTCTGTCCCTGACCTCCAGAGGCGAATATCCCATTGGCTACTGGACCATGCAAAGTCTCCAACTCAGCCTGTCTTAAACCTAAGTCATTATCTTCAGCCCACTCACCAAACTTTGTCTTCTTCCTACATTCCAACCTACCTGAACTGATTATCTGTCCTTCCATTTGCACAAACCAGAAACCTAGGAATCACCCTTAGCACTTTCTTCCCTTTCATTCTCCATGTTCAATGACGGCACAAATCCTATCAATTTTCTCTCTAAAATACTGGTTATGTTCATGTCTCCTTCTCTAGACCAAGCTCCCACCATTTCTCTTCTGGTATCACGAGAGCCTTTTAGCTGGTTCCTCTGCATCTTGTCTTCCTCTCCCCTCTAGTCTGTTCCCCGATGCTGCAGCCAGAATATTCTTTCTACAGTACATCTCAGTTCATGTCAGTCCCTCTTTTGCTTTTAGGTCTTAAGACCAAATATCTTAGTAAGATTTACAAAAAGCCTTGTGTCTTCTGCCTTCTGTTTACCTCTAGCTGAATCCTTTCCTTCTGATTCTCTATATTCCAGCCATTCTGGCCTTAATTCCTTTTGTGTGCCAGAATTTATCCCACAACAGAGGCTTTGCACATGCCTGTACTATTACCTCTCTGCTAAACTCAATTAACTACTATTTATCCTTCAGATCTCAGCATTCATTGACCCTTTCTCTGACCTTGAACCTCTGCCTCCAACAAATCCCCTCAAACCTAGTTCAAATCTCCCCTT